CCGCCCTCTCTCCCGCGGCGCCGGGGCCCCGGCGCGGAGCCGGCCGCCCGTACTACCATGGCCGCTTCCCGCCGTCCGCCGTGCGCGTCACGCGCCGCGCGCCGCGCGCGGGGCGGCGCGTCACAGCATGGCGTCCGGCGAGCCCGAGCGCAAGCGAAAGCCGCCCGAGCTGCAGGCGGGCGGCGCGGGTGCGGCGGCAGCGGACGAGGAGGATGAGCAGGATGAGCGCTGGGTCGGCCCGCTCCCGGGGGAGGCCGCTCAGGCGAAGAAAAGGAGAGGTAAGGGGAGGAGTGCAGCACTGCCCCGGCTGGGGTCGGGGTGGTGGGATCGCCGCCAGGCCCCGCGGGCGGGAGCGGCCGCGGGTGAGGGCGGCTGCCGGCAGCGCGTGTCCTGAAGCTGTGTTCATATACTTTCGTGTATAAAGTGCGCACACTGCGGGGGAGCCTTCAGGTGCGGAATTACAGAGTAGGTGCTGAGAAAGTTGTGGCCTGCAGAAGAGAAGGTTACGTGCAGACTTTATAGCAGCTTTCTGAAGAGACTTACAAGGAAGCTAGAGACGGACTCTTCGACAGGAACTGTAGTGATGGCAGCAAGACTAATTGGTGCAAACTGAAAGACGGGAAATTCAGCTATAAGGGAAAAAAATCTTTGCTGTGAAGTAGTGGCACAGATTGCCCAGTGATTTTTTTTTTGGGTGCTCCAACCCTGGGAGTGTTCAAAGCCAAGTTGAATAAGGCTTGGAGCAACTTGGTCTAGCAGGAGGGGGCTTGGGACTAGATGATATTTAAGTCTTATTCTAGCCCCTTAACATTCTATGATTGTTAACATTCTATGATTGTTTCCTCTGGAGAACATTTTAAGGCCAAGAGCCTTGCTGTGCAGGCTGAAGCTGTGCTGTTTATTAATGTAGAGTTAATCCATCTTTCAGATCACCGCCTTAAGGTGCAGCAGCAGGAGAAGCGTCTAGGCTGTATTTTGGCATGTGATATTGATGTCTGCAGCAGCTTCCAGCTCTTTGGATATCACTTTTTCTTCAAGTAAAAAAAACAATGTTCATCAGATGTAAACATGCAAGTTCAGTAGAAAATACTGTTGCACAGATGTTAACAAGTAGGATCTAAAACCAGAAACAAAACTCAAAATCAGATTATTTTAGGTCAGCCAGTTAAACAATGAAATAGGTGGATGCCAGCATCTAAAATTTAGACTCCAGGACCTGTGCGGGACCACAAATCTCGTAAAAAAAACAGGGATACATGTGGTTTTAGAAAGAAATGAGGTTCAGATGACCTTCTGTTTTCTGGCAGTAATTTAAAAACTGGTGATTGACTTTTTGGAAAGAATAAGACTTACTGTAACAGTTGCTTTAAGAGGGAGGAGCAATATGAGTTAAAGCAGGATTTGAGTGCTTTAGTCCACAGAAAAGGTGTAAGTCTGAGTGTAAAAACAGAGCTAAAAGCCTTTTAATTATGTTTACACAAAATCCTGCATATTTTTGACTAAATATGAGTAAGCAATAAAAGGATAAGTAAAAGAGAACAAAAGGTAGGTCTAGCTTCATGAAAAAAAAAAATCCTGACTTTTCTTTCTATTCTGTGTAGTTCTTGAATTTGAGCATGTTTATCTTGAAAATCTACCGTCAGCTTCAATGTACGAACGCAGTTACATGCACAGAGATGTTATTACACACGTAGCATGTACAAAGTAAGTATTTTTGTTTTCCATTGTATTCCTTTGTCTGGGGTGTATTTTTGTGTAGACTAAGAAATTTTCACTCTAGATGTTTTATAATGGAAAGTTACAATGTCCTGAGGTGGTTTTTAAAGGGTGGAGGGTTTTTTTTAAAAAGTAAGTGGCTTACCCATGTAGCAAAGTATAAGTTGTTTTTATAGGCTAAAGGAGGGTCTTAAAATCCTTGTTAAAATATGCAGGAAATACAGGACTAAGATTAACTTACTCCCTCTGAAAAAATACCACTCACCAGAATTGCAACGATCACACACACACAGTAACTACCATGAAACCAGACTTAAAATAGGAGTTATATTTACATATCCAAAAAGGATAGTGTTATATTTTTCTTCAATTTGACTTCTCATAGATTAATCCAGAACGCATTACAACACCTGTTTTGTTTTTCCTGGAGTTATAGTACCCATTCAGATACACTGTCACAGTAATTTCTTGAGATTTCATTCTCTACACAGTGTTAATTCTAGTGCAAATTACTGACTAGTGGAAAGGTGCATAATGTGTGCATGTTTTCTTGTTTTTATTTTTCTTTTCTAATTGTAGGACAGATTTTATCATAACAGCCAGTCATGATGGACATGTAAAATTCTGGAAGAAAATAGAAGAAGGGATTGAGTTTGTTAAACACTTCCGAAGTCACTTGGGTGAGAAGCTGCTCTTTCTTATCTAAAGAACTTTACTTTTTTCTCTCTTTTGCCCTTTGTTGTTTGATTAGAGAGTGCAAATAGAGAGAGATTTTGGGGTTTCTTTAGTGCAGTCAGAGATTAAATTATATCTACCAATCTTCCTTTTATTCCTCTCTCCTGTTACATTTTGCTCCCAAGCTATAGCAGGGATAGAATGAAAATGAAACATTAAAATGAAAACTGAAGCCTTTCCTTTGCCTTGTGCCTGCTTGTGGGGAGAATATCTGGGACACAAGTGAACAAGATATACAAAAGTGTTCATCAAAGCCAGAGAAGTTGAGAAATATTTAGTTTTAAATAAGGATACCTCAGTCTTTTTTTTTTTTTTTTTTTCCCTTGCAGTGTGGGAAAAAAGCAGTTCTTTTCATCTGGAATACTGTAACTGTAGAGCAAATTCTGCATTATTGGTGTCATTATCAGACAAATTGCAGTTAAGGGAAACTTTAACCCCTTATTCTGAGCTAATAAGGACACAAAGGTTTTCAACACTATGCTAAGCATTAAATAGGCTGGACAGAAAATGAGATTCTCAGCAGCATCAGAAATTATTATATGCCTGAAGGAAAAAAATCCAATTTGATATGCAGAATGTTACAGTAAGTTTCCTTTTAGAGTTACAAGAAATACTAAAGTCTGGTTTTGATCTTTATCTTCAGCTTCTTATTATATATAGAAGCAAAAGGTGTGTACAAAACCTACCATGTGAAAATCAGTGTTGTGAGAACTTTATGGAAGGCCCAGTTGCAGGGGAGTTTTGAGTATCGTGAGTGTAATAATCTGTAGGGTTCTGCTGATTTTACCCTGTTGAGAAATACAAGCTGAGGAGCCCATGTTGTTTACCCCATCATAATGTTCTCAAGTTTCTAAAACCAACATTTTAAACTAAACTAACTGCCATTATAATATTTTAGTATGTTTTTTGTAAATTGTTCATTATCACATACCTGAGTCTAAACACTGATAGGCCATAAAATGTTGTTCTGTGAATTTTATTTTTTTTAAATACTTTATTGAAGTCAGGTAAAAGGTGACAAAACAGTTGGGAAACAGTTTTAAGCCTCTGTAGGTTTTCCATATATAATACTGAAATGAAGGATGTCCTTTCCCATTTCTTAATAGTATCTTAAATTAATTCACAGGTGTTATTGAGAGTATTGCTGTTAGTTCAGAGGGGGCATTATTCTGTTCTGTTGGAGATGACAAAGCAATGAAGGTGTTTGATGTAGTTAACTTTGACATGATCAACATGCTGAAACTTGGGTAAGTTACTTAGAAGTTACTCAGAAGTGTTCTTTTGAGATTATCAGAGGGGGTTGTTTTGCTAAGACATAAGTCAGTAATTTGGGGCTCTTGAGTTCTTCCCCTTCCCCATGGCCCAGTCATATGAAGTTGAGTAAACTGCATTTTCTGAAATCCAATGGCTGGAGACTGCCTGAATAGAAAAAAATTGCTACTGGGGTAGTAGAAAAGGAGCTTCCTCGGTGTTAAATATTATGCACAAGGATATGGGGTTTCTTCAAATATTTAGCTAGGCATAATTTCTTTCTGTTGTTTGGCACTGAATTTAAGAATTACAGTCTATTAGTAGTTCAATTAGGGAAGGGATTTGGCCTGCCCGTATTGTCTCATTTGTTGTCATAGGGATACAATTTCATTTTTCCTCTAGAAGCAATATTGTTGCTTTCTCTAGTCTTGTAGTATTTTTGTAGTTACACAGTATATACCTAAAGGATCTAGGAGGAACAGGAATGGATGTTACTGGAATTGTAACAACACCAGAGGAAAACAAGCCCAACGCTGATAAAAGGGCGGATTTGAAGGGCTGGAGGATCAATAAAAGCTGCATTAAGAACAGCAAAAATACTGATTTCTCCACAAACATTTTAGAATTGGAAAACATATTCCTTATAGTCTATGATGTACTGGTTAATTTTGAAACTGAATAGAAGTATAAAGTTAGGGAAAAAAGCTTTTACAAAGAACATGTTATAAAAGCATAAGCTATCTGCTTTGTTTGTTATAGTTTTAGTGTCATCCTCCAAATAATGTACTTCACCTATAGGAATTGATTCTCTCTTGGCTGTCTGTTCTGGAAAAATTCCAGTTAGGCTTAAGCTTTTTGGTTTTGCTATTATTTTTGACATAACAGCCCTGTACTGTTACTACATAATTGCTAAAATCATAGAAAAAAGAAAATTACATTCAATAAAGCACCCTTGATCTTCAGAGCTTCCCAGTTCTAACTTATCTGTAGACCATGGCTCTTTGCAAATCTCCATGCTTTATGCTTCCATCTGTGATCTGGAAAACATTGGCTATTTCTGCAGAGATTTCATATTTATTTATTTGCTCCTGTTCTTCCTAATGAATTTGAGATGAAGTTTTTGTTTCTCTTTACTGGCAGAAATTGAAAATTCAAATTATTGGTCTGTTATAATGTCAGAATATCATCAGTCCATCAGCATCCATTAGTTCAGTTTGTGAAAGGATACTTAAGATTGTATAATTTATTTTTTATGTTTGCAATTTAGTTTGAGTTCTAGTTTTCAGAATCTTTGCTTACAGACTTTAAAACAGATATAACTTATATTATTGACTATATCTCTGACTTTTGTTATTTGTAGATTACACTTTTGCAAGTAGAAAATGAGTTCCTTAAATACACTCACAACCCTTATTGAATATAGGAGGATTGTCTTAATTTTGTTTGTATCACTTCTTGGAGATTTTGTGGGTTTTTTTCTGGCAAGATCTAGTTGAACTTTTGCGGAAGTGTATGGCAGAGGTGCAGTTGTCTTCATTTCTGCTGAGTCACTACTCACTTAAAAAATGGAGGAGAAATGGTATTGACTTATATAAGTTGAGTACTATTTATTAATGCAACTTGGGCTTTTTCTCAATTTCTGTCCGAATTCCTCCTTTTTACCCACTTTCTACTTTGACTATCACAGTCTCTTTACAAAACCATATGGAGGAACAGAAATTGGTAGTCTTCCACTGAATGGTATTTCTTGGTAAAACTTGTCTATAACATGCTCAATATGAACAAGATATATATTAGCAAAACTAGTAAATAAAGTTTAAAATTTGCTACTGATGTTTGATTTCAAGTTTACAGCATAACTTGACTCTTGCCTAATTAAAACCATTTCTAGTTTATTTTTAATTTCTTTTTCCTTTCTACTCTTTGTTGCAGCTACCACCCTGGCCAGTGTGAATGGGTATATTGCCCTGGAGATGCTATATCTTCTGTTGCAACATCTGAGAAAAGCACAGGAAAAATATTCATTTATGATGGACGAGGAAATAACCAGCCACTTCATGTTTTCAATAAACTCCATATGTCCCCTCTTACTCAGATACGCCTGAACCCTGTCTACAAAGTAGTTGTGTCTTCTGACAAGTCCGGAATGATTGAGTACTGGACTGGTACTCCTCATGAATATAAATTTCCCAAGAATGTGAACTGGGAGTATAAAACAGATACCGATCTATATGAATTTGCTAAATGCAAGGCTTACCCATCCAGTATAAGTTTTTCACCTGATGGCAAGAAAATGGCCACTCTTGGGTCTGACAGAAAAGTTAGAATTTTTCGTTTTCTGACGGGAAAGCTCATGAGAGTCTTCGATGAATCTCTGAGTGTGAGTTTTGTCTTGTTCTCCTTCTTTGAAGTGTTTTCTCTACTTATTTGAATTTGTTTGCCAGCACATTCACCTAAGCTATAATTTATTTCTAAAGGCAAGCTTCCTTCCTTTATTTGTCTTGCAAAAAAGGCCTTCTGTGTTCTCTTGCTTAGAGAGTCTCAGAGATTGCTTTGTCCCAAAATGAATTCTTATTGGTTTATGTTACCTACATAGTGGAACAGAGTTGTTGATTTTAATTTCTGTTTTCATGCTGGTAGATTACATTTAACTAGAAGGCAATTGTGAAAGATGGTGGAAAATTCACATTGCAAGTAACATCATGATAATGAATTAAATTTGTCATCTTCTAAGGAATTTGAAAGACAACTGCACACTTTCATGTGCTTAAGCCTAGTCCTACAACATGCCTATTGTATCATTAAAATAGAGTATTACTTGTATTTACCTAAATTTTTCAGTTAAGTTTAAATTGAGTAATCTCACTTAAATTCAGTATTTTCTAATAATGTGAATCAGTGTTTTACTGGATAAAATGTTTAAAATATGTTAATATATTAGGCTGGGGTTTTTTTGGTAGATGTTTACTGAGCTTCAGCAGATGAGACAACAATTGCCTGACATGGAGTTTGGCCGGCGTATGGCAGTTGAGCGTGAGCTGGAGAAAGTGGATGCAGTAAGATTAATTAACATAATTTTTGATGAAACTGGACACTTCGTTCTCTATGGAACTATGTTGGGCATTAAAGTCATAAATGTGGAGACTAACAGGTAAGTTCCAGTGACACACATTGAGATAATTTTCTGTTTTAAATTCTTTATTCAGTCAAAATTAGAGCATATTTGTAACTTAATATGATTGTGGACGTGTCTAATCTTTTTGTGTTATTTGAGAGCCTTACCTTATACTGGAAGGTACTCATTCTTTTTAAGGAGTCATTGGAGATAGAGCTTAGACAGATGGCAAGTACATGTGTATTAAAAATGTGTAATTGACCAATTAATCTCTAACTGGATGGGATAATGCAAATGTAAAATAAAGATGGATCATTTAGTTGGGATTTTTATTGCATAAGAAGGCTGACTGGTAAACTAAGATAGCAAGTTTAAATAGAAAAGTAATTAGTAAATAATGATTTTGAGGATTTTGAAATTTTGATCTGAATGTAACAGTCAGAAAGAAGACATTCTCTGACTGTGAGCAGCTGAACATTACACCTCTTTACCTCTTGTATTTCAGGTGTATTCGTATCTTGGGAAAACAAGAGAACATCAGAATGATGCAACTGGCTTTGTTCCAAGGAGTAGCAAAGAAACATCGTGCGGCAATCACTATAGAGATGAAGGCATCTGAAAATCCTGTTCTCCAGAATATCCAGGCAGATCCAACAGTAATCTGCACAGCTTTTAAAAAAAACAGGTTTTACATGGTGTGTGGGGTTTCTGTTTAAATAGCTCCATTCTTTTATTGATTTCTCTACGTTATTTTTTATTTTTCTCTTTGCACATTTCTAGTGCTTTTTGTAGTTGTATATGCATCTTTTACAAAGGAGTCTCTTTATATTGCAAGTATATTTAGAATTTTTATCTTGAACTATCTGTACATTAACTAGAAACAGCTGTGATTTTTTTCATAAATTTTTATTCCCCCAAGAAGATGATATCCTTTTGTTCTTATTGAAGAAAAACCTAAGTAAGAACATTTAAAATCTAACCAGATTTTATAAAGAAACAATAAGTAACTGTATGCATAAAAAATGTAATAGAAAAAAAATTTAAGACCAGAATCAAGACTTGATAGCACTATGCAACCAACACAGCAGTCCAAGGATAGGCTGTCTATGAATTGTCTTAGTACATTTCAAATTGAATTGGGTGTTCAGCATGTTGATTAATGATATTGTTGTGCTGGGTGCAGAGCAGTGTGTATTTTAAGAGGAAAAAGAAAAAAGCAGTTAACCTGTTCTTTTGTGCTGCAGTTTACTAAACGTGAACCAGAAGACACAAAGAGTGCAGATTCTGACAGAGATGTATTTAATGAGAAACCTTCTAAAGAAGAAGTCATGGCAGCCACTCAGGCAGAAGGTCCCAAAAGAGTGTCAGACAGTGCCATCATCCACACAAGCATGGGAGATATTCATATCAAACTTTTTCCTGTTGAGTATGTACTTGCTGTTTTTTCAGTTGCTTTGGTTTGGTTGCTTTCTTGTGTCCCTTGTGGTTGCAGTATTCAAGACTTTTCTCATGCTAGAAATAATTATTTTCTTACCCTTTTTCTACTGTTTTTGTTTCCTGACAGTTGTGAATGACTGTGTTCTGCTCAGCAAGAACTGGGAGTATAATCTAGTCCGTTCCATTAGTTATGCCATTGGTGCTCTTTTTCACAAGATAGCTTAGAGTGTCAGTAAAACCCAAGCTAATGTTCAACAAGAGCTAAAACATCCCTGTGCTATCAACACAGCTGCTGCCTTTCTGTGTAACCATGCAGCTTCGTAGCTCTTAAGGTTTTTGCTTTCAGCTCTGTTTGAGTTTAGGTCTGAGGAGTTAAAGATTTGTTTTTTCCTTATTTGGCTAAATCCTTCCTACAGAGTCCTGAAACACTGCACAGCACAAGGGCATCTTAGTCCCAGCTTAAATCTTTATGGCCCTGTCACCAGACAAATAATATTGTGTTTTCTGTTACATTATCTTAGGTGTCCCAAAACAGTGGAAAACTTCTGTGTGCACAGCAGGAATGGTTACTACAATGGACACATAATTCACCGTATCATCAAGGTAAAATCCAACATATTAATTTTTTGTTTATTTATGTAACATACTCTGGTGGTCAGTCCTCTGTTAACACTTCCTTTTGCACACAGGATTGTTGGAGTTTAGAGTTTAGATTTTAGTTTGTTAGATTTTAGAGTTCCTTGTCAATTCTGAACAGGTCTGATGTTCTAAACACCTTTAGCACTTAGTAAAGTTGTAGTAGCTGTTCTGCAACTGACACGGTAGCAGAAAACTAAAAATTGAAAGATGAATCCTGCTATCCTGCTTGAATTAAAACTTCGCTTCATGTCAGAAGGCCTTTCTTGTAATGCTTCTTGTTTCTGTTGCACTAGAATCAAGTGATAGAGCCTAAGGATTTGCAAAAGGTAGAGATAGGCAGGTTTCTGTCTTTCATTGTCAGGATAGTAAGTAACCTTGCTTTTTCTCAAATGCTTGATAGGCACTTAAAGCCTTAAATGTTTTTTCCCTTACACACATTTTAACACATTTTGTGGAAAAGTTTGAAGTAAGTTTGAAAAAATGTCACCTAGCATATAACACTTATGGTTATGTATTCTATGCAGTAATGTGATAACATATGATTTCTGTGCAGGGTTTCATGATTCAGACTGGTGACCCAACTGGTACAGGAATGGGAGGTGAAAGTATTTGGGGAGGAGAATTTGAAGACGAGTTTCATTCAACTTTACGACATGACAGACCATACACACTCAGCATGGCTAATGCAGGACCAAACACCAATGGATCCCAGTTTTTTATAACAGTGGTGCCAACTGTAAGTATACTAAAAGCTCAATTTAAGGCCTGAGAGGCTACCTAGATCGCAAAAATAACTTTTTTTCCCATGGAAAAAGGAACACACTAGTACTTAATTTACAAATAAATGATGCACATGATATGTAGTGTATAGGCTTCACTGAAACTGTCCCTTAAAAGATACAAATAATTTCCATTACTTGTGATCAAGAGGCCTTTTGCCTTTAAATGGAGTGAGGGTGGTATAAAATTCCTAGGCATGTATGCAATCATGTATTACTAGAGTGTCTTATGTTAGTAATAGTCTCTAGAGTATCTTATGTTAGTAATAGTCTTTTAAACTTGATGGAAATCTAGGCATTGCTTCACTTGTTTGGGGTTTGGATATGGTGCCAGGATATCAGTCTAATATGGTCTAATTGTAGGTATAAAAGGAAGCCAGTGTTCAGGTTTAAAAATTTCATTGTGTATAAGTTCAGAGCCAACAACAGAAATTTTGATATGTGAACGTAAGATATAGAAACCAAATCCTTAAAAGTAATACTTATAAAAACTGTATTCTTATAGCACTTCAAAGTAATATTAAAAAAAAATCTATCTACCATAGTTCTGAGGTTTATTAAGTTGTATGAGGGCCTATATTCAAACTGGGCACACTATATGAGTATTGAATTGGGCAGTATTCTGTACTGGCTCTTAAAATTCCTCTGGGAAAATAACAAAAATCCGAGAGACTGAAACAATATTTCTGTGAACTGAGAATACACTTTAAAATGAACTATACAATGCTACTGCACAGGTAGAACATGACCTCTGTAATACTTTAAGAAAGCAGTTGAAAAGGTAAGTTCAAATGCATATGAATATGTGTTAGCTGTATTCTAGTATTTCCTTGCATGCTGATATTTACGGGGTGTTAGGTTCCATAGTCTGGACACACAAAATTAATTCATGTACACTTTATTTTTGGTTTGGTACCTAAGCTACATGCTGCTTTCTGTTTTAATATGCTTTTCTTTTTCTCCTGTGCTTTCAAACAGCCATGGCTCGACAACAAGCACAGTGTGTTTGGACGGGTGACTAAAGGAATGGAAGTTGTTCAGAGAATCTCAAATGTGAAAGTAAATCCCAAAACTGACAAACCCTATGAGGATATCAGCATCATTAATATAACAGTGAAGTAAGGCAGGCATTGAAGGTTCCAGCTTAAGCAGAAAAAATCTGAGTATGTGGGACCTAGAAAGGGACCTAGGAAGAACAAACATTTTTGATAGCTCCTAGATGCAGCAAATACCAGGACAGAGCAATCACCAGTTCTATTATTTTTAATGTACCTAAAGTGCCCTAATTCTGCATTTCTGGTAACTTTGTATTTTAAAGTAAAAACATGTACGTTTCTTAAAAAGTCTACTGTCTTTCTTGCATCTCTTCTATATAAAATTGAAGATAAAATCCCCTACCATGTCCCATGATAGTGTTTGTAACTTTTTCATGTTTATTTGCATCTTTCATATTTAATTGATCTGTTTCACAGTACTGAAATCTTTTACAAAGGAAAAGGCCAGAAATACTAAGTTGAGTAAACTTCTCAATTCTTTGTACATGTATTAAAAATTAGATTCAATTATGGTACTGTTGGCTATGAAAAGCAAACAATATTATCTCCTCTATTCTTTAAAAATAGTTACGTACACATCTCTGTCCAAGAGCAATGATCAGCTCTTAAAATGCCAGTTTATAAATTCCTTTGCAATATGTTTGGTTTTTCCAGTGATTTTTTTCTTTCGTGTTTGCTTTCTCTTTATTTTAGCCTAGTGAGTATTCTTTTCTGGGTTCATTTTTAGCCAACATCCTACAAACATTACTGCTTCTACTGAAATACTTTATTTTAAACTGTAATCATCATCTGAACTAAGCTTTGCATCAGCCATTTCTGATGGAGTTACAGAACAAAATCTTTAAGGCTGAAAAAAACTGGTAAGGTCAGTAAGTCAAACGTTAACCTAGCAACACTACCATCTTTACCATTAAACAATGTCCCCAGGTATGACATCTATATCTTTTTTGAACTCTTCCAGGGATGGTGACTCCACCACTTCAGTGGGTGCTCTATTCCAATACCTGACCCCAATTCAGTGATTAAATTTTTCCTGATGTCCAATGGTAATCTGAGGCTATTTCCTCTTGTCCTGTCATTAGTTAGCTGGGAGAAGAGACCAACACTGACTTGGCTACATCTTTCTTCTAGGCAGTTGTAGAGATTGATAAGATCTTCCCTGAGCCTCCTTTTCTTCTCTGCTGCTCCTCACAGGACTTGTGCTCCAGACCCTTCGCCAGCATCTCAATGAACTGAGGGCCCAGCACTGAACAGGATTTGAGGTGTGGCCTCACCAGTGCCCAGTCCCTATCCTGGTCCTGCTGCCACACCATTGCTGATCCAGGCCAGGATGCCATTGGCCTTCTTGGCCACCTGGGCACACCCTGGCTCATGTCCAGCCACTGTCACCAGCACCCCCAGGTCCTTTCCAGCCACTCTGCCCCAGCCTGTGGAGCTGCCTGGGGCTGTTGTGACCCAAGGGCAGGACCCAGCACTGGGCCTTGTAGAACCTCACACCATTGGCCTCAGCCCATGATCCAGCCTGCCCAGATCCTCTGCAGAGCCTTCCTGCCCTCCAGCAGATCAATAACCCCTTGGTGTCATACATGAACTTAACTGAAGGTGGACCATCAGGTCCATCAGCAATACCCAGTGGTATTACACATTGCTGGTTCCAGTGGTAAGCTCCAGGTACCACCATCTGTAAGCAGCCACCAGCTGGAGGAAACTAACTCCATTCACCACCACGCTTGGGGCCCAGCCATCCTGAGAGTTTTTAACCCATGAACTGTGCACCTGTCCAAGCCACAAGCAGCCGGTATCTCCAGGGGAATGCGATGGGTGACAGTGTCAAAAGCTTTAGTAAAGTCCGAGCAGACAACATCCACAGACTTTTTTCACCCACTAAGTGTGTCACACTGCCATAGAAAGGGATCAGGTTTGTCAAGCAAGACCTGCATTTCACATATCTGTGCTGGCTGGGCCCCAAAACCCTGACTGTTTTACACATGATGGCACCTGGGATGAGCTGCTCTATGATATTCAGGATCAAGGTTAGGCTGACCTGTAGTTCCCTAGATCCATCTTCTGACCCTTCTTGTAGATAGCTGTTACAGTTGCCAATTTGTAGTCACCTCCCCCATCAGCCAGGACTGTTGGTAAATGATTTGAATTGTCTTCTTGGTGCCTTAAAATTATTTAAAGCTCTTCCAATCAGTTTCATCAGTAACCTCGGTGGATCCCATCTGGTCCCACAGACTTGCAGCTAAGTGGTCTAGCAAGTACTAGCAATTTCTTCCTAAATTATGACCACTTTGTTTTGTTCCTCATCCCTAGCTTGCACTTCAGGGGACTTGATACTCTGAGGATAACTAGTCTTACTGTTAAAAACTGAGACAAAGAAAGCATGAAGTACTTCAGCTTTTATTTTTTCCTTTGTCAGTTGCCCTCTGCAAGGATGAAAATTCTCACTGGCCATTTTGTTGCTCATGTATTTGCAAAAACATTTTTTGTTGTCTTTTTCACCAGTATTCAGAGCAAATTCTAGCTGGGCTTTGGCCCTTCTGATATTCTCCCTGCATAACCTCATATCATCCTTGTGGTCCTACTGAGTTGCTGTCCTAGATTGCAAGGCAGGATGTATTCTATTTGCCATCTGTTAGAGGTGTGGCAGTTATCTTCTGTTAATTGGGCAGTTTTCTTTATCTCTTCCACAAACCAATCCTTCCCCTGGGGAGACATTTGCTGTTAATGGCCATCGAATGTCACTGCATGACCGATAAAAGTTACAGCATCCCACTGTGAGCTGCTCCACCCAGAGGGAGGAGCCAAGCATTCCTCCTGGATATAATCTGAGATTTTGAGACACTAGACTCAGCCTTTCCACTGGATTCCCACAGAAACAGCTGGGTCTTTCAAGTGGACCTTCAGAGGAAGACTACATCTTTCTACATGATCACTGCTCCAACAGTACCACATCTGCCACTCCAGGAGGACTACAGCCATTCCAATTTAGACTGCTACCAATATCCTGACCAGGAGGGTGTCAGGTGGTATTCCGGCTCTGACAGTGGTTTTTCTTTTGAATTATTGCATGTATTTGGGTTTTTTTTTCCTTTTCCTAATAAATTGTATTTCTGACTTAGAGTCTCTCACTGGTTTTACTTTCAAACCAAAACAGCCTGCCCTTTCTTCCAGAGGTTATAAAATTTCTCTCCCCATGTTCCAACCAGAGATTTCTGTTGAGACAGGCTGACTTCCTTTCCCACCGACTCATTTTTCAGCACCTGGGGAGACCCTGCTCCTGCACATCTAGCTAGTAATTCCTTCTGCCTTCCTGGACTCCATTGCCCTTAAGGACTACCTCCTATAGGACTCTTTCAACTAGTTTCCTAAACAGGCCCTAGTCTGCACTCTTCAAGTCTAAGGTGGCAGAGCTGCTGACACCTACCCTTACTTCTCCAAGACTCAAAAACTCCTTTTGTGATCACTTTGCCCAAGACAGCTTCCACACATCACATCACTCATGCATTTTTCTCTGTTCACAAACAGCAGGCTCACACTGAAAGCTCAGACAACTTCTCAAGCTGTTGTGAATCTGGTTCAATAGGGTCTTGTTACTATGCTGCTTAGTTGAATCTACTCTATAAACAGTAACTGATCATGGCTGTTTATGTTCACCTAACACCACTGTGCTCATGAAAGACTTGGGAGTTTACAGTTCTCGTAACTGCATTTATGAATTGAGGTATGATGCATGATAACCAAATATATTTCCTCAAAAGCTGCTGCTACCATCAGAAAGTTTATCTTCAGTGAGATACAGGATCAGTAACAAAAATTACACAGGAAGCTAAATATAGCACACCTCTATTCTCAGAGGACCTTAGAAAACAAAACAAAAAGGCAAGTTTATTAAAATTAGTTCTCAAGGTTTTACATATTTTATTGAAAAGGAATTATTTTCTGAGCAATGCAAATTGCAGCAGCTCACAAATTTCTCCTATGAAAAGAAATCTGTACCTAAGATTCACATCTACTCAACACTCTCAGAACCAGACCCTCCTAGTCCACAGTAATTCTGAAGACAGAATACAGAAACAGTGATTAAAACATGACTGTTCAGTTAGCACAGACATACTATTTTTGAGATGAGGTTCTTTTAAAAAAAGCCACAACACAGTCACTGGATGTTGCATTTACTAAATTTCAAAATTACATCAAGATCCTTTGAAAAGTTAATTCAGTCTTTCTAAACAGTTAGCAATGCTTTAATAAGTTCTAGTTCAAGAAATATTCCAATTACATATTTCATAAGTCAGTACACTAAAAACTAAAGTTCAGTAAAACTGATGAAACAAGCCTAAATTTATAACTGAAGCCATTTATATGTTGTATTAATGTATAATACAAATAAACCTCTTAGTGTACTCTACACTGAAGAGTTCACAGACAAATGCAACACTTTCACATTTACTTCAAGTCATCTTAAATAAATTCAATTTAAAAACACTTTCATGGCAGCATTCCATGTGTCATAAGCAATCACTTGTACTTGAAAATATGCATGAGTGAGAATTTTTCCTCTCTCCTCAAATTTAATGTTACATAAAATACCAACCAGTCACCTTGAACATTTTGAATTATAACTATACTGAGCAGCATGTGTAACTGAAACCTAAGCCAGCTAAAATGAAACTAAATCAGGATTCTTCTAAAGAATGCATATCTTCTGTTAAAAATATTACAAGAAAAGATATCTACCATACTTAGCAGAACTTGTTCGTATTTCAAAAAGAGCTGTGAAGGGACAGTCAGCCCTACACCAGGTCAGGGGCTGCTCTGCAGCACAGGCTAAGCAAATGCTCAAATAACAGTCACCCACTGTGTACTGTGCAAGAAGTTACAGGCTGGGAAGAATGAACAATTTTAAGTTTGGTATGTGCAAAAACCCCACCTTTCACTCCATTATAAACAATTTCCAAATTTATCAGGTTGTCTAAAGAAAGACTAAATACTCTGCCTACCTGTACACGTGTAGGCATTGAAGACCACTTCACAAACATTAAACTACTTTAAAGCTTAGTGTTCCTTCAGGTATTACTTACATCATTAGACCTGCTGAATCTGAAGCTGCATTTAACATAATTTACCTGAAACTTAAGTGAGAAGAATACTACAAGTGTCATAATAAGGAAGCAGTTACATTAACTGCTTCCTCTAGAAGAAAAGTGCAAATTTACTAAATTATTTGTTTATACATTCTTGGCTTTACCTAAGGTATGTAGTAGGAAAACAACATAAAATTCCTAATAATACAATGAAAGGAAAGCCACAGATAATGGGATACACTTTCTTTGCTAGGTGAGGTTCAGAGCTCTCACAGGTAAACATTTTTCAGCATGGCAAAAATAACTCCACATCTGTGAAACAACACTGGTCACTTGCACTATTTAGTTCTCCTGATTCACCTCTACTCCAGTAAGAAAAGTTCCTATACAGAGTTTTGATCTACTGCTCAGAGTCGTAGCTCCTCTACCAACATGAAGAGGGTCCATGGCATAGCTTCTTCAGTTGGCAGTGGCCATGGACTTATAGAAAAGGAAAGAAGATCTGGTGCGCATACCAGACAGATCATATTGTCTGAAAAGATGCATGT